TCGGCTGATCACCAACCCAGCAACGTTCACAACTGTCAGCCGACCTTGCATAGCTTATCTTCCATCAGCCGATATACAAATACAATGTTCAAAACTGTCAGCCGACCTTGCATAGCTTAACTATCTTCCATCAGCCGATATACAAATACAATGTTCAAAACTGTCAGCTGACCTTGCATAGCTTAGCTATCAGCCGATATACAAATACAGGGACTTGACTTCCCGGGGCAGCTTCCTACTGATCGGTGTATGCTAAATCTACGTAGCTGGCCGACCCTTCTTTACCTTGATAGTGGGATCACATTGGCCAATTCATCAACACAGGGTTATTGGCCCTCATCGGCCCATCAGCAGGCACCATCAACTATGGCCTGTTTGTATTGTCAGGCCTCTCAGTGTTGGTGGGTGATTCCTACTAACTGCCCTGCACAGCTGGGTCTTCGTTCCATTGTCATTCCAGCTTGCCATACCACTTTCATTGACAGCTTCCACATTTAACACACATATAATCCATTAGACCACCTAAATTTGAAATACTACTAGAATAAAATCAGAAAGAAATTGGATGGGGTAATGTTTACATGGTCTGTGCACAGTTCCATATATAGTAATTACTGAAATTACAGCCAAAAAGTCAGAAAAAAATAAGAAAAGAAATTCACATGCTGGAAATGGTCATTAATAATGTTAATGTGTTGTTTACTTGGTCTGTGCACATTTCCAAATATGGTAGTTAGTGAAAATATGGCCAGAAAATTGATGTCTGACTCTAGCTGATATGGTTTCACCTGATAGGCACATGATAAATGCATCATATAGTTGTTCATATTGTATATCACATGATACAGTCATATGATATGACATGTGATCAATCATGTGATATAGTAGTCATGTGATGTGATCATGTGACAATGTCATGTGGTCTGATTATGTGATGTAGATCATGTGATATGTCATATAGTCTGATCATGTGACATATCATGTGATAGCCATCAAAGATTTTGGCACTTATGTCGTCGAATTTAAGAGGATTCGTCCCCGTTTGGGGT